TCAGTCCATCTGGAAAATTCCATTGGGAACCAACCTGGATCCAGCCGGATTTTTGCTCTACTTTCCAGCTGGAATCGGTCCGAATTTACAGTTGGAGTCCAGCTGGAACCAGCTAACAAAACCAGACTCAATCCAGCTGGAAAATTCCAGTCGGGATTTTAAACTGGGTACCCCAAAGACAGAGAACTCATTGACCAGCATGAACTTAGTGTACCTCTACAGCAGTACTCATCTTTTAAACATAGTCACTATAGTCAATAGGAAATTGTATTTTGATGTTATTCAGAGTCAAAGGTTATGAACATTGCTTCGACAAGGATGCATTCGTTTGATGCAAAATTGAAAAATTATGCTGGAAATAGAAATACTGGGCAGTATATCTTCAAGATGTATGAAATAATGAAGAAAATATGCATCTAAATCGAATAGCTCCCTAGATTTTGAGAAATTAGTCAGGAGGGATCAGTGCAAAACCCGACTCGCGTCAAAATTTTGTAAATCTATATCCTTGGAACCGAGTGCGAATGTAAAAAATAGTCTGCACAAATTTTTATTATTATTTAAGGAGACCACTGCCTTCTCAATGCCAATTTTCCATTTAAAAAAATCCACGAGATGCCTCCCACAGGCTATCGGACACTATGTTCAGAATGACCCAAAGGCTTGCAATATGTGTTTGAGCTCATTGAAAAGCAATATACAGGGTGTCCCATAAGTCACTATACCATTTCGAACTGCAATATTTTACAAACTGCGACAAGCCGGTCACTGCTGTTAGCATTAATGGACGAGCATCCTTTAGGAGTTATTTCATGATAATGACTTGGTATCAGACTCATGGAAATTGCTTCGAATGCATATTAGAAAGGTGTACCAAGAATCGGGCTAAATAGGTACACCTTCTTCAATCCTCTTTTACAAAATTGCTTATTTTTATGCTTTTCTCTCCTAAATTCAGATAGACTTGAGAAACAGAAAAAAAAATTAATTTGCTTTTGCTGTCATGAGAAAAGGCTTCGCAATTGACGCTGGAGCAATGAAGAAAGGTTTCCACGTGGATGGAGGTATTTGAGAGTCCCGTCAGAGTTCTAAGGGAGTTTAGGGGATTTTTTGGTGCCAAACCGCATGCCAAATGTACTGATGTAGGAAGAGGACATTTTGAGGCACTCTCGAAACTCAGAATTGCCTCCATTCTTGACAAAAAATAATCCTAATTGACATGCTATCATTCAGTTAATGTTACTTCTTTTTTTGTGCCAATTGTTTAGTGGTTGTAATTTTTTTGAATAGTGAAATGGTATAGTGATTTATGGGACACCCTGTATGTAGCAGAGTCTTGTTTCGCAAGTTTCAGATCCTCTCCTTTCCTGGTCTCACGTATCGCTACATCCTCACTATCCACGAGTGAGGTATTCACAAAATAGTGGTATTATTTCTTAAGAAGTATGACACAGCTCAAACATATTTCAAACTCAGCAATCACATCTCAAAACAGAGATTATAGTCCATTCAGCAATCCTGTTGACTGAAAGTGTATTTTCGGAGAATTCCCTCACTTCCGCTCTCAAATGTTGCTTGTTTTTCATCCCCTACATAACAATTCAGAATATTACAACATCAAATGGGCAAAAAATGATATTTCAGCAAATGATGAAGTACTTTGTGATCTTGGGAGGCTACGGTTCGTTCAACCCAAGAGGCCCTATTCTTCTTTCTCAGTGATGATATACACAATTAATAGTTAAATTTTGGATTCAGATGGGTAAAAGGTTCTTGTTCTCGAACGGATACTTATTATTAGGGCTGGGCGATATGGATTTTTAAAATATTGATATCACCCGATATAGCGATATCGCCAAGGTTCGATGGGGGGGATTTAATATAAGTGGCGCATTTATTTCAGGAAAAACCTATTTATTTAGGAAAAGATTCTGACATTTTCTTGAATGTTTGACATAGTAGTTCCCGGTTCAAAGGAGAAAGAACATATCGACGATCTACGTCGCAAAGCATGCACGATTTTCGTTTGCAAGAAATCCAGATCTCGAGAAAAATTGCTCACACAAGACAAAAGTTCAAGGAATTCGCAGGCATTTTAAGCGACGGGTGTCTCCTTCCTTTGTCAATCTACCATATTAGTGAATCATCGATCTCCATTTTCCGCTTTTGTCATTAATGTAGGATTCCATTTCGTCCTGTAACTCCGCTTCTGCAGGTTCATAGCTGTCCGTGTAGGTTATAAAAATAATAATTTCCTTGCATGACTATTTGGTGGAGGCCGTGATGGACTCGAAAGTAAATTGTCTGATTTGAAATGCACCCATGAAAGAGTTTATGAGCCGAGAGCCGTTCCCAAGGTGTTCCGTTTTTCTTCGAGGGAAAGGTATGTCAAGCGTATAATGCCTCGGTTGGGGATCGATTTTCTTCAGAACTGGGCTTCCACTTTGTCCCAGACAGTACAAGTTGCAAAAGAATGATGGAGTGGTCTTTAGCGACGAGACTCGATTTATCACCACAAATTGAGGTTACTCGCACGCAAGATGCAAGAGATTGATCGTATTCTCAGAATTTGGAATTTCCTTCCTTTCGATGCAGCCATGCGACTACTTTTTCACATCCCGGATGGATATTGGATTCATCGCGGGAATAAATTCTAAACGCATTCCGTACCACAGACTTTCCATGAGGGTGAGGTACGATTTTCCAATCAGTCTTCTCCATCCTCACTGCACAAACGAAGATTGGCCTTGGCTTGATCATATTCAGGGGCTAACTGAATCCGAGTGCTTATTTCCATCATTTGCCTAAGGGACATTTTCCAAGAGAAGAGAGCATTAGGAAAGGTTACGGTCTGTATAGATGATCCACTATCACCCTCCGTGACGACCCCTTTCCCTCCCTCCCTCATCCCAGCACTTTCTGTCAAGGTCGACAATTAATCCTTACTTTGTCTTAAGCCATTTTTGTAAATGGCGTGGTTCGAATGCTTTGTTTCCCTTTTCCAGCGACAGCAGAGAAATAAAAAAACTATTACCAAAATTAAAATATCACGGTATGAAGACATATCGCCGATAAGGCACATATCGAACGATATCGCGATTATCGGCACAGCCCAACTTATAATGTGATGATCTTAATGGAACAAGATTTTTTGGACCTAATAATGACTGGCTTAACAATAATGATGTTGATGTGGTTTGGTTTCTTGTTTTTCTCTGTGGACAATGCCCCGATGGCAACAATGAATACATTAATTTAATCCCCCTTTCAATTTTTCTTTTCATCCCTCAGTTCTTTGCTGACGACAGTAGAGGCTCTGACGAACTTAAAAAATAAGGACCGTATTTGACTTGATATGAACTCGTATATGACGGACAGAGCGGCGACAAGCGCAACCAACAACCAACAACCGACAAATGGATGTGTTCAACAGCTATATTATACTGAACTCGCGTTCGCGCACAGGTTACTGAACGGTCTGTGCACTTGAACTTTTTGAAACTTTTGAACCTTGACTTTTCCTGGACATTCAATAAGGAGGTAGACTTGAGCCCAAGTAGTCTTCAGTGACGTCTCCACCTTGAGCATATTTGCTTTCTGTGCCGGTATAAACATGTTCTGGAGAGAAATAAAAGTTCGAAAACCCTTGCGCGGATGCAAGAAGAACTGCATGTGTCGATTGGCATATCTCTAGTGCGATCGTCGCGAAAGGCCGGCCGAACACCGGTGAAGCATGTATAAAGGTAAAAAATGTATCAAACGTGTATAATACATGTTTCAAACACTCAGCTGCACACTGGAGAAACGTGTATCATATAAGTTTCAACCAACAGTGCGAGAGAGGTTCAAGGTTGACCTGTACTTAGTGTTGGTAACCCATACCCACAATCACGTGTTTCCTGCTTATATACATGAGCTGATAATCAAGATGGTGGCAATTGAGGTAACGAGAAAGGAACAGCAAATAATTATGAACTTCGTATCAATGAGAACATCAAACTAATTTAAATTTACAGACGATTGTCTGCGCAGTATGATGGTGATTTTCTGTCGAGGACATTCACATTTAGCAGGGGCAAATTGTTTAAAGGTTGACGTGAATGTGCACAGAATGAAGAGCATGCTACAGACAACAGCTACCTCACCACGCTGCATGTTGTTCCATTTGTAAATATTCAAATTCATTGCCCTGAATGCCAAAATATTCCAAATTCAAGTTCAATTGGCGTGTTTATTCATGGTATGCGCAACAACAGACTATCACGCGGAAGGCGCAGTATGGAATTCGCTCTTGGTACGCTTTGCTTGTCCTGCCAAAGAGTGTTCTGCATTCCGCTCTACGTGATTTCTGGCCTAGGAGTTTCTTGCCAACGTGCCTCTCCCAAATCCTACCATCGGATGTACCTAAGAGGGAAAATTTTCAAGCAATTATTGCTGCTTGTTGTGTTTTGCACAATTTTGTACGACTGCGTGCGGGAGCAATGACAACCGCTAACCCACTCACAAACCTTGAGAATTGCGACGAAGATACCTTCCAACTTCAGGATAATCTGATTGGCCAGATGAGTTGAGTAAATCTACTTCTAGACCCAGCACGTCTGCTGTGACAGTCCGTGACGCACTGTGTCGTTTGCAATGTGTTCCATCCAAAGAAGCACGTATCATACATGTATGATACATGCTTCACGAAAGTGTTTCACCAGGGTTCGGCCGGGAGTACCTTAACTCCCGCCCTTCTAGTTGAAGGATCCATCCCCCTATTCCCTTCACCCACTATCAACATCATGGCGCTCTCCATGGACCCAGATTTGCATGTTCCATGTGACTAACGTTTGTCTTAGGATAAAGGTCAACCCGAAGTACAAACAGCTGAATGCTGCATTAAGCTACCCCTAGGTTGATCCATATTATTTCAGGTCAAGGTATATGTGTTTTTATCCGGTGTTAATGTTTTACCTCCCAAGAGGCCTACATAGCTGCTGGGTGTCATAGGCGTATGAGAGGCCTAACATTAGGAATCTCATTAGCACGTGGACTGCCCCGTGACACGCCGGTGTGTCACATTCGCCATAGGGAAGAGCAGTGGTTCCAAATCCCTTGGCGGTCAGTGTATTAAGTATTTAATAATGACATACTCTCCACTGAAAGCATTCCATAATTCAAGTGACATTTCATGGTTTTTTTTCTGAAGGTTGTTTTTGGATCAGTGGTGATTTTGACAGAAAATGACATTCACTGGATACTCATGCTTTGTGGAGGAAATTGACTTCCACGAAATCTCAGTGGAAGAAGTGAGTGCTTTTCCAATTATTTTTCCTGGACTCCTATGTATTCATTTTTCATAGTAATGGAGAATAGCCTATTTGAAAGTTACTTAGGCTGAGATTGAGTAAAAGCTTCTTGGTCTTCACTGCTTGAATTGGCCCAATTTGAGAAATATAGCAAATGGTTTGCTGTCAGTATACATGCAATGGTTAGACAACTTCTAGGAAACACCATGAAATTATTTAAGTGATAAGACACAGGTTTATGTCTCAGGTGTATGTCAGTAAATGCAATCATCTGAAATTGAAAATTTTCCGTTTTCAACACTATTTACTGAATTTCTCACTGGTCTTAGTGTTTATGGAATTCTCCAATAGCCCTCTCTCATTTTAAATATCACAGATTACTTCATCTTATTTCAACAGCACAAATTGTATGCCAAAGTCTATCTCAAAGGAGTACTGTGTTTATGATATGTGGGTCATGACATCCAAAGAAATTATGAAACAGGATGGAAAAGACACTCCAGAGTAGCCCTATGAATTGCATAAATGACAATATTGACTGGTCAATTTACCAGTCAATAGCCCATCCCTATGGTTGTCTTACCTTTCCTCTCACTTCTGTTTTCTTTATTCAGGTCATAGGGAAGGGTTCTTTTGGCATGGTTTGCAGAGCAAAGTGGCGAGGTAATCTTGTAGCAGTGAAGCTCATTGAATCAGAATCAGAAAGGAGGGCCTTCATGGAAGAAGTGCGCCACTTGTCTCGAGTGTCTCACCCTAATGTTGTCACCCTTTATGGGGCTTCTACCTCTAATAGGGTCTGTCTTGTGATGGAGTTTGCTGAAGGTGGTTCTCTCTATGAAGGTGAGGATTCCAATTATCCTTAAACATTCTGAGATGAGTTACCCTCAAACATAGAGAAAAACTCCATACATAAAGAAAAAGCTGGGGACAGTTCATATTTTGTGATAAAGAGAAGTTCATTTTTGGCAGGATTTTCTTTATTGTTATTGGTGTTCAGCTAGCAATATAAAAAAATTTTGCTTTTAAGAGAATTTTCCTTACCTGGTTTCATCATGATGGGGTTTTACAGTTTTTAGCTTGTTTTAGTTACCCCCTTCCTGTGCTTATTTTATGAAGGAAAGCAAGTAGGGTAAAAGACCCAGTGTACCCGGACAATTACCGCCCATGAGTCACTACCCGGTGAAGCGTCCTTTTAAGGTTTTTGATCCGTAAACAAGGTACTTGTGGACTAAAGTGTCTATGTGCTTGAATACTGCTAGCATATGTCACAAAATGGGTAGGTTTGGTTTGGAAGCTTTGCTATTGGAATTTTGATGTGCTGTGGCCCATCACTGGGGATTGGTCCATCACTGGGTCTTTTACCCTACTTGGGTTGGACACTGCAGTCCAATTCCCTTGGAATTAGACGCTCCTAATTTAGGGCATATGACTGATACCAGCTGATATGCGATAATGTACCTTGGCTTAAGGTGGCGGTGATAACTTACTCATTTCTTTTGCTTGATGTAACCTCTTGCATGCATGTAAGAATATGTTGTATTTATTTTGTTGCATGATGCAGTTCTCCATGGGAGTGCTCAGCCAGTGTACACAGCTGCACATGCTTTGAGTTGGGCCCTGCAATGTTCTCGTGGAGTGGCATATCTGCATGGAATGAAACCCAAGGGACTTGTGCATCGGTATGCTATGATACTCATGTTTCATTACACTTTCATTCATAATCTCAATTGACAATGTATGAATCCAGTAGAAGAAGCAGGACCTATCCAGGAAGTAACTCTTTCTGGAACAAGCAGATGAATAAACTGGTGGTTTCAACTCAAAATCTGAAGCTAAGGAAATGAACTAGTTTTGATTGGTTGCTAAAGTTGGAATTTTTTTTTTTTTATTGAGTGAATTTTCACATGGTGCAGCTTGATTGTCTACAATTACCTCTTGTACAGCTATGTAGATGTTATAATTTTGGTTAAGATTTTGAACAATCCTGTCCTTTTGCTATTTAAATTTGCTGTTTAAATTTAATGAATTTTAATACCATGGCAGCAATCACAGATGTTATATGGATTTTCACTGTTGAAGGTCTCATTGAATTTTCATTGAAAATCCACTGGAAACTTAAGTTTTATCTTTGAACTCTTAAGTCACTTTTCTCTCACATTGTCTTATATACATTTTCAAGGATGAACCCTATCACTGTGTCATGGGATATGTCTGCTCAAATCTGGTTTTTCAGTATGCATTGCCACCATCTTTGAAACTTTCTAACAAGAGCTGTTGCTGAAAATTATGACCAGCAATAAAATAGTTTTTTTGCAGGTCATAAAAATGGCTGGGGTCTGCCTGGACTACAAGTCTTAGTGATAAGGTTGACTTACATTTCCATTTTGAAAAGCCACATTATCCCAAGTTGGAAAGGAGTTAAGTCTCTTTTTGGGAAAATCATTTGGAATAGTTCTAAGTGTTTAACGTTATGCTTTCATGAAAAAGTGAAAGATTAGAACAGTGATTCAATGGAGACATAAATTAGTTGCATGGGTCAGAATAATTTTTTAAACATGTGCAGATTGAATTATATGCACTGTGAAGTGAAACATTCTTGATTAGTCTATTCAATCTTAGACCTCCACCTGCCTACCTTTTGCATCAGCCAAGGTATGCCATTTTGGGAATCTGTATTTTTTATATATTATTACTAAGATTTCATAGTAAAGATTCTGCTTCCAGGAGATCTGTAGGGATTTTTTTTTTTTTAGGGAGGAGTGTGATTTATTTCCTTTCCCCTCTTCCATGGCATCCTAATGTGAATGTATGAATAAATGTAATATTCAATAATTTCTTAGGGATTTGAAGCCTCCAAATCTGCTGTTGGTGGACTGTGGACGTACCCTGAAGATTTGTGATTTTGGAACTGCATGTGATATTCGTACATACATGACAAATAGCAAGGGAAGTGCTGCCTGGATGGCCCCTGAAGTTTTTGAAGGTAAGTACCTTCCTATAAATCAAAATTATTAGATGCAGAGAAACTGAGCAAATTGAAGTGAAAAGTAGTAGATTTCAAATTAGCTCTTGTAACTTTAATCTTACTCATTAATGTGTATACGCACACAAAGATGTCCCCACAAGTTTTCAATGCAACCATTATCAACATTGAAAAAAATACAGAACTTACTAGAGCTATCCTTGAGAATATGAATTTTTGCTCTAAGTTTAGTATTTGGAGGTGACAGCATATCAATAAATGAAGTTATCTTTAGCAGTTGAGCTATTAGAGCACTAGCAAGTACAGTCATCACAATCGCATACCTGCTTCACAATACTGCATTTAGAAATAAAATTTTTGCCTTCCAAGTAATACATATAGTGCTTATGACAGAATGATTATAATACTTGTTTCACATGAAAGTAGATATGCATTGAAAAGGATTGTACTAAAACCCAATGGGGATGAGTTCAATTGGATCCAGTGATATCCTTTGAGTCTTTAGATCAGGGGTGTCCAAAGTTTCTGGTCATTGAGGCTGCATAATGGGCCGAGGGTGGCAGGGCTGTTTCTAGGGGCGGACAAAGCGGGCGATCGCCTAGGGTGCCAGTGGGGTAAAGAGGGGGCGGGGGGGCGCCATTGGAACTGCTTGCCCTGGGCGCCAACATCCCCAGAAACGGCCCTGGAGGGTGGAGAGGAGGGGTGGATGCTGACCAAAAGCTTTGTCATCTACCCTGAGAAAAAAAAATGCACCAGTTTAATTTTTGAAATATATACCCTCATCCTACATTGTGTGAGTCCCTTGTTTTTTTTCATGTGACATCTTGAATAAATATTAAAGATGTATGCCATGTTCAAAGGAGTTAGCTTTACCAAGTTAAGACACCAAAAATTGAAGTGAAGAAATGATCTGCTCATGGCTCTTTCCCTCCAAACAAGTCACATTGGCCCTCCCTAACATGGTAGGATGTAGGCAGTCTCAGTGAAGATGCTGCTTTTCATACCACTTATGTGTTGTTGACTTCTGCAGCACACATTGTGCTAATCCTTTTAATGAGACTTTTTCACTTCATTTTATTCTCCACAGGAAGTCGATATACAGAGAAGTGTGACATATTCAGCTGGGGCATCATATTATGGGAGGTGTTGACACGCAGGAGACCATTTGAAAATATAGGTGGGAATGCATTTAGGATCATGTGGGCTGTGCATATGGGAGCACGACCTCCTCTCATTCACAATTGCCCTCCTCCTCTGGAGGCTCTCATGGTCAGGTATGTTTGAAATATGCTACTAGTCTTAAAAATGATAGATTCCCAAGTTCACTGGTTCCCAACAAATAATGGCTTTTTCTTTGGTCTTCACATTTTGAGGTAATGTTCAGATGTACCTTTTTCTGAATTGATAACTGACAAGATGGTGTATTTGGAAACAATTCAGCTCTTGGTAGGATTAAGCAGATATGAAAAAAAATCTGAAGATAGAAGTAGAGTCAAGGTCATAAGGGTCTCATTTTGCAAGGAACCACTCTTATCTCTAGTCTCTTTCAAGAACAACTTTGTTGTTCTTGAAAATATTTTCTTTTAACTCTTAAACTACCAAGCCTCGAAGTTTCATGTGTTATAACATAGGCTCTGGGTCAAATTTGACCCAGCTTGGTCATTTAAGGGTTAATATGTCCTTCCCACTCATAAACAACCTATCAATATTTACTGTGGATGGGAGATATAATCTTCTTGGCAAGAAATCTTTGATAAAACCCAGAGTTTTAATTGATTTGCTATTCCATTGATCATCTGGCATATTAACAGCTGTTTGACAATCATTTGCGTTCCCATGTATCCACTTGCCCCAGTTGGTTTGTTTACTTTCTTCTTGTGCCCAATTCTTTATCTTGGGAAAATGGGGTTAATTTGCACTGCATTATTTTTTTCAATTCCAACAAATCTATAACCAACATATGCCAACAACATGGAATATACTGTAACTACTCCTGTTCTACTTAACTATGCACTCAAATTCAATGTATTTTCGAAAATTGCAATAAAATGTCTCTTCATCTTCCTATAATTTTCCAGTTTTTTTTTCGAATTCTACTATCAAAGTTGAACTTATTCTTGTAAAAAAGTTCCTGTAATATATTTCTTTTGCTTGGATCTTTTAACTGCAACATCCACGTCCATGTGATCTCAGAAGAAGATCAGTGGTTGGCTGCCACTGACCAAATTCCCACTAGGGATGATGGAGAAGAAAGTGTATATGAAGAAGAAGAGGATGAACAAAAAGATGATTGATACACATTAGAAGGGTCACAACATCAACAAGACATTACTGAATAAAGAGACAACTTCTGATTAACTTTTGTTATTTGTGTTTGTATGGGGAACAGTGCATAGTTAAGTGGAACAGGAGTAGTTGCTTTTTAAAAACTGCTGGTAATGTAACTGGTATTGTAAGTTGATTGCACTCTTGAGTAGGGCAGGACTCAATAGTTCCCTCATCTTGTACCATTAAGTACATGAAAGGGAAACATTCACTGAAAGTTATTGTGCAGTAGTAAATAAGAGGTATAGATGGAATCACCAGCTTGTTATATGCAGGTGTTGGGATACAAAACCTGAAAGAAGGCCATCAATGGATCAAGTGGAGAATTTCATGTCCCACATCTGTACTTTCTTCCCTGGGGCTGACATTCCCCTCTACTACCCTCCACCAAGTAAGTTTCATCTTTGGAGTTGAAGTCTGCTCCATATATACTGAATCAGGCTGGTTTCTCATGGGTAGGTGAATGTAATAATCCCTCTTGGCGATGGATGTCTTTTTGACCATGACTTAGTGTCAGCATTTTCAGGGTGTTTATCTACCAAAAAACTTATCAGCCTTCTTTTCTTTGCTTCTTCAGTTCATTTTTACATCATGTGATTCAGGCAGATGAGGAAGACAATATCATGAAGAAATTAAGCTGCACTCATTTGGGATGGAAGTTAGGAGAGTAAGGATCAAGTTAATCTCAATGAAAGCAAACTCTGAAATCTACTATGGACTTTTGCAATGCTAAGTATATATGTATGTAACAATTTAGTTAAGTGATCTTGGTGCATTTGTAACTCATGAAAAGAGTTTATTTTCTTATACGAGGGGCATTTCATAAATTCTGCACAGGTTGGCAACACTGAATACTGGATGATGTTATGACCGCCATTTTTGTCCCAGTTATAGTTTGAGCCTATGAGTGCTTTCATGCCGAATCTTGTTGCTCTAAGTGCTGCTGTTTAGAAACAGTAAACTTTCAAAATGGCCAGTGCAGAGTTTTCGGGTACGGTGACACGAAACGATCAGCGATCTTACATTAAAATTGAAACTTTGCGCAATAAAACTCCCACAGAAATTCATGCTATTCTTGTGGAGGTGTGTGGAAGTGGTGCAGTAGACCAGAGCACAGTGTCTCATTGGGCCACACGTTTTCGTTGTGGGCGGGAGAGCATAAACAACGATCCAAGGTCTGGCAGACCAGTTTGTGCAATAATGGACGAATCAGTGCAACGTGTGGCCAATGTGATTGAAGAGGATCGCCGAATGACCTGTGAGGAAATTTCTCAAGATACTGGGATATCAGCCACGTCAGTGTTTCGCATTCTCACCCAGCATCTTCACAAAAGAAAAGTGGCAGCCAAGTGGGTCCCACATCAGCTCNCACACGTTTGTAAGGTAGTGACTGATTTATTGGCCAAGTACTGTTGGGAAATTCTTCCTCACCCCCCTTACAGTCCTGATATGAGTCCTCCAGACTATGACCTGTTCCCAAAACTCAAAGAAGAGATGCGTGGTGTGCGTTTTGCAGATTTGAAAGAACTTTCTCGTGCCGTTACCTGACGCATTCGTCAACTTAACAAAGATGGCGCCTTATCTGGCATTCACAGCCTTCCACACTGTTGGGAGTCCTGCATTGCTAAGGAAGGAGAATATGTAGAAGGCCTATAGATATAGTCTGTTGGATTAATTGTCAATAAAAGAGAAAAAAAATTCTGTGCAGAATTTATGAAATGCCCCTCGTATATGTCCATGTCCTTATACATTATCATTGCAATCATTCAACTTTTTTCTTTTTGTGCCTTGTCTTGCCAAAAGTGGGAGGAGCAGTTTCTCTCAGATACGAGGGCCACTCAATAAGTTATCTACCTGAATATGAAAGGGATGAGCAACAGGCCTGTGCCTGCTGTGACATGTCTCGACAGGTCTCGTGAGTGCCCCACCACTATACCAACTCAGTGGCTCAAGTCCATTCAAAGTGGTAGCGCATTAGATTTCTTTTCCCGAGTCTGTGTCATGGATTTGACGAAAGTTGAACATCGTTCAGTGATGAAATTCCTCACCAAAGAAGGGAAAGCACCTAAGGAGATTCATGAACGTATGTCTAACGTTTATGGTGTGTCTTCGCCTTCTTATTACCAAGTTAAATTTTGGAGCAAGCAGTTTAAGTGGTCAATTGAAGATTACCCAAGGTCGGGGCGCCCTGTGGAGGCTTCTGGTCAGGAAATGTGTGACAAATTGGAGATTGCGATACTGGAGGATCATCGCACCAAAGTCTCTGTTTTAGCTCATGAACTGGGGATTTCAGAGGGCACAGTGATTCACATCATTCATGGAAAATTACACATGTCCAAAGTCAGTTCTCGATTGGTCCCAAGAATGCTGACTCCAGCTCAGAAGAAGAACAGATTTGACATCTGCAAGGAAAACTTGGAGTTTTCTAAACAAATCGGGGAAACTTTTTTTCCCAGAATAGTAACTGGTGATGAAACTTGGGTTCATCACTGGGATCCTGAAACCAAGCAGGAGTCCATGCAGTGGAAGCACAAGGGATCGCCAACGCCTCGCAAATTTCGTGTTCAGAAATCTGCAGGAAAGATTATGGCCACTGTGTTTTGGGACAGCGAGGGACTACTGCTGCTTGAGTTCATGCCAGACAAGTGTACAATCACTGGCGATTCCTATGTTACCACCATGAAAAATTTACACGATGCCATCGAGGAAAAACGCAGAGGAAAGTTGTCAAGGGGGGTCCTTCTTCTCCATGACAACGCGCCCGTCCACAAATCATGGAAAGTTCAGGCAGCAGTGAGGGAGTGTGGCTTTCAGGAGCTCAACCATCCTCCCTACAGCCCAGATCTGGCTCCTAGTGACTATTTTCTGTTCAGACACTTGAAAAAATTTTTGCGGGGAAAAAGATTTTCATGCAATGAAGAGCTGAAAGTTGCCGTTTCTGGTTGGTTTGATGGACAAGAAGTTGACTTCTATTCCCAGGGAAAAAAATCCTTGGAATCAAAGTGGAATAAGTGTGTTAAGTTAAAAGGTGACTACATTGAAAAATAAAGTGTTATTTTTCCCCTCGGATGTTTCTTTCTTATTCAGGTAGATAGCTTATTGAGTGACCCTCGTATATGAATGAGTGGATGCTCCAAAAAAGGGGAAATATTAAGAATTTTTGGGATGAAATTTGGCATAGTTGTTACCAAGGTACTGTCACTGGGTAAATAATATTGCATTTAAAAATGTTAATCCAAATCATCATTAAGTCACAATTCTTGTTTGAGTTTGCTAGTCTTAATATCCTTCAAAGTCAGGAATGGTTAGACAATGTCATAGATATAGTTCTCAGAGTGAATATGGGCAAATAAGGTTTTTCTTCGGAAATATTGAATGGCGAAGCCAGTGCAGATAATAGTGACTTATTTATCATTAATGGCTGACTTTTCTGTTTCTTTCCTACTTTGCTAGCATGTTCCAATTCCCCTTGTCTGTGACAGGATGGAGCTCCCTTTTCCTCCTCTTTGATGTTTGAGCGTGAAAAGATTTTACTTCTTTCCCTCTAACTTGTTTTTTGTTTCAGCTAGAATTTGACCTATTAACCTCATGTCACGCAATGTTTGCATTGGTGCACCCTTACCAAAAAGTTTTTAAAGCCCTCATACTCAGTGATCTCTAATAAAGCATGATGTACCCAAGTTCATGGGCATCACAACTTTCAGACTATAATCATGAGTGGTGTGCCATGCCAATCTATTGTCTTGTGATTTAAAATATCATGAAAAGTGTCCAGGTATGTGAACATGGTGCAAAAAGGATTAAATATTAGGCTCTATGGATGCATGGACAACCACTGGTGTCGTGTTGGCTACCACTATGATACTATCAGTAGGTTTCCAGATGCCAAAGCTGATGTTGAAAGAAGGTGCTGAATGAAGAAAAAGAAAAAAGTCTCATAAATGCAGCTTGGTAAAAGTCTCTCAACAGTAATAGGAGAAAAGTAGGGTTGTCACAATGTTTTTGATTGATGTATTTATATCAGCAGATCACAATGAGATGTGACAAAATATTTTGCTGCTCTCCCCCCTGGTCATGCATCAACACAGCATTGATATTTCTAGTAAATACATTGATGATTTCTAAACAGCCTTTGTGATAGCCCACAAAAAAATAAAATTTCCTAATAGACTTACTGTGTAAGTTGTTATATTATAGCACTTTGATCTTCATCTACATGTCACAATCAGCATATGCATCGGCACTGGCTGACAGATATGAGATTATAAATAGCTATCGACCCATCAGCCGAATGTGGTTATTGGTTCAACCCTAGTAAAATATTATCAGTGAAAGGATGAAAACCCAATCGATCAGATGAAACTAAATATGTCATTGCTTATTTGATTGGGAAAAATACCTATTTAAAATGATTGTGTGCTTGTTGTAGGTGAGAGAAGTGAAAGGATATCAGTTGGGGATTCTGAAGAGGATGAAGAAAGATGGACTGAGGATGAGAAGGAAGCAGCCAACACTGAACTTGGCAGATATAAAAAGGGTCAGAACAAAGTATCAGACTCAAGAATAGAGAGTCATGTTACTCTCAAAAAACCCTATCTTCCAGTGAGCTTCATCTGATGTCCTATGCCTTTCTAAAATTAGAATTTAAGAACTTTTCAACTTAACTTTGTGTACGGAACCAGCCTCTGTTATGATGAGTCATATTGGTTCCAAGCAGATAGATTTGAAAGGCATGTAGAAAGAGCATTACTTATTTTAAAAATTTATTATGTGGGAAATGTAGTTAGAAAAGGTATCAAAACTAAAACTGAGTCATTGATGCAGAATTTTAACTCAGAAGAAAAACCATATTGGGAATAAATAGGTTAGCCAAATTGGAAAATGTAGAAAATCAGGGATAGCTTAGGTAACTAATTATGAATTGAGTATGTTGGAGAGACACAAAGCAGAAACATGAGTGAGTGTTTCTATTTATTTGATTCAGGAGTTTCCAGATATTGGTGCACTGAAGGTAGAGGTGGAGGAAGAAGGACGACATGAGAAGGATCTTCCACTGGACACTCTGATGGAAAGTGTAACCCTGAGACCAAAGACTTTGAGCCCTCCATCTCAAATGGCCTTGCCAATGGGAGTGAAAAGAAGATCCACAGACCTCTCTTCCCTTGCTTCATCTTCTTTCTCCGCTCATACACGGGCCAAAGCCCTTGGTACATAATTCAGGATTCCATTTCTAGAAAATCTCCATTCTTAAAAAAATATATGAAACATTTTTCGTATGCAATTGCTTGGTAATTTGTAAGCTCCTATGTGCATCAACATGAATATTTTGCCATTTGTATTCATAATGGGGGGGGGCAGAACATAGGGCTGATGAAAATGGTAAGTGTTGTTTCTTTCCCTTCATTGTAGAATCATGAAATTATGAACTTGTTTAAACAAGCCCCATTTGCCTCTGTTCTGGCACTCTTCATGGGAAGTCAGAATTGTCAAACAACATCACAATGACCTCAGATTTTCTGCAAATTATGGACAATTTGAACCAGGCAATTTTTAACAGGATGAGGTATTGCATTGGCAAGAATGGTCACCAGTTTATATCATACCACTTATGAATGTCAACTTTTGTCATGTGGTGCTAAGTAAAATTTTTTGCATCATTACTCTGTCATTTTTCTCATTAAAAAGCACAAGAAAAAGCTTTGATATTTTTCTCAGATGCTCATCACCATATTGCACTTATGTCCAAAAGTCCATGCTAATAAAAAGTATTCTACATAAAAAAGGCAAAGTTTTTGCTATATATATGTGAAATTACATGATTCTACAATAAAGAGATGGCATGGAGATTTGAATCATTCATCAGCCCTATGTTCTGCCCTCCCCATACATACTAGAGCTTCAAGCTCCATAAAATTGTTTAGTATTGTTCCATGAATGGATGAACAATGTAGACCTGTATGCTTTTGGATGCAGTACATCCTGTAACACATTAATTATTATATGTATTCTATATTCTTGATATGAGAATGAACTGGTTCAAATCTCAAAAATGTTTTTTATCACAAGCTCAGGGCTTTTGGTGGCAGGTAGTATAGTTACCAAAATTCAAAGTTAATTGATTAATAAAATGATGAAAATGCGGCAACACTTGCATTTACCCATTCAAAATTGGCAAAAGAAAATTCTCACAAAATATGTTCACAATTCAGATGATGATTTTGCATTTCTCGGAAAAAGATTCATTCATGAAAATGTATTTTTATTATTTTATGGAATATTTAGTATAGCAGCACCAGATGCAATTGCAGCTATTCTTTCTTGACCATTAATGTTTCTCTGCTTCTGCTTCTATTGCTTCCTGAAGGGCCTTTAACTCTTTGCACTCCACTGTCGTGCCCCATCCCTGTGCTGTTTATGTCATGTGGGTATGACAGTGGAGTGCAAAGGGTTAATCATGCCTGCTTTGTGTCATCTTCTAGTGGCATGGTGTAAAATCTTTGGGATGTCCAAGGGAAAGTATCAGAATGACAAAAGTATTGTCCAGGCTTCTCTTTGCATGATCTGTATAGATCATACAGCTTTTATAGCTATCCCCATATTTACAGGTCACAGAAGGTCTTCATCTTATGGATCAGCTGTGGCTGGGAGCAAGTGCAGCAGTGAATTCAGAGGATCTCAGTATCTCCAACGGTCCACATCCAATCTCTCCTTTGACAATGGTCAGTCAATGGTCATTCTTCTTCCTCCTCAAATGTACTAGTAGTCAAGAGTGCCACAAAGTAAAGCCCCCTGCTCTGCCTTGCTCCCACAATGTAGGGTGGCCATAAAGTCAAGCATCTTTGGCATATTACATGATTTGTTGAAAATATTTGAATTTTTTAACATTGGATTTGAAGATGAGGTCCAAGGGAATGGGCCCCATGATCACTGCACCTGACCCCAATGGATTTTTTCTTCTTTTGGGATTGCATTAAAGCTAAATTGTACAAAGATACGAGACATGCAGAACCTTAAAGAACACATAACTCAGTGTTGTGAATCTGTGAATATGAACTAAACTACACTTCTCTGTGTGCAGGCTAATTTGGTAAAGTGTTTTCACAAGTGTGTGGAATTTGAAGGAAATGATTTTAAACAAATCATGTAATACGCCTATGATGCTTGACTTTATGGCCACCCTGTAGAATGAATGGTGTTTCCCTTTGCCATTCCCCATGGTCTATGTCTTTAGCCATCTCCTTCTGTTCTACTCCTTCCCCCTGTGATTTTCATATCACCCATTACTTTTTATTGTGTTCATTAAGCATCATAGCTTACTTGAAGGAGGGTCACCACTTTACTTCATTTTGCCAGTCTTTTCTTTTTCCCTTCATGTTGTACCTTGATCTCATTTTGCCACCAAACTACAAAGACTGAGGCATGCTCTTCTCATTGATTCCTTTGATTTCTTTTAGGAGAAGATGACCTTCTGGACACTGCTTATCTTCTCTTGGAACCAGAAATACATCCCATTCCCCCCTGCAGTGACTCTCAGCAGTCCATTGAAATTTTTCAGAAGCATAAAAAAGTGAGTTATTGCTCTTATATTCTGGAAAAGGCATTAGGAAACCATTCAATTTTTAGCCTGAAAAAGAACTGTAAACATCCACTGAGATGTATGGAGGGAAGAGCTTTCAAGGTGATGTTGTCAAGGATTGAAAATGCAAGGTTCACAGTATCAAACATTCAATGTGGTGAATGAATGATGGATGGATGAAGTGTATGAACAATTTTCTTAGATTAACAGTTAGTAAGGCTAAGCCATGGGCTTTCAACAGTGACTCTCTTGGTATTTATACAACCTTTACATTTTGCTAATGCCTCCCTTATTATACAGGGTGATTATTTAAGCATCATTCCATTAGAATATGCCATAACTGTCATATCCATGAAGCTAAGAGAAAGAAACTTGGCAACAGTCACAAGCTTATATGGGAAACTTATTCCCACCAGGAAGGTAGGTCATAAAATATTTATTTCAACATGGAAATTCAGTGGTTATTGTTCAGTGAAAGTTTCATTATGAGTTTAGGACATGTGTACTGCCAGGAAAGGAAACCCCTCTGCAACTGGTGAAGCAATTTGAATCTGTTTCATTATTTTCTTTGGGGTTGCTTAAATGAATGAGTGTTTGAACCTCCCCATGCACAATTGTAGAACTAAAGAAATTGATAATTGCTTAATTTTCATATTTTCTGAGGATATGCTGCAGACATTCTTGCATAATTATGCCCTGCACCTATGTCATGTTACTTAACTATGTCATATTACATGTCACTGAGGTAGACATACGTCCACTTATCATTATCTTCTACCACTTCCATCTGCCATGTATCATGAACTTATCATTCATTGAGTGATCTATCCCTCAGATATGCTCCTATCACCAAGTTTCCTGTGTCTTGCTTCAACAAACATAAATTATGCCATTTTCAAGTGTTATGTTGTTTAAAAAAAATCCTCCTGTGTATCAGAGCCATTTCTCTGTACGAAAAGCACTTAGCAAAAGCAGTAAAGGTTCTAAGAAATAAAATTTAAATCACTGCAGAGTGGTTTCTTTGCGGGTTCCATGATGCAGGAAGTGATTCAGGTGAAATGCCTAGGAAAAAGAAATGGCAAAGCCAGGATACCCTCATCCTATCCCTAATTCCTTTTCTGGATGAGAACAGCTCCATCATAGTCTGGCAGTGTCATGAGTCTTGTGTTTATGTACCTTGCCTACTCTTGCATTCCTCCTTTTGCATATATTAATGTTTTGCCCTATTCAAATTCTGGGTAGCTCATAAAACTATTCAAGTGTTGGTACTTGTCCTTATCATCATTATCCTTTCAATGATTGTTTTGTGGGTTTTTTTTAATAGGGGAAAGTGCATATGTATCTAATCCTGCATCAATTTTACTATGAGGGAAAATGAATGCTCAAGAATATAAATTACTCCATTCCATGGTAGCTATCAGTTCAAGCTCTTCTTCTATTCCAATACATATTCTGTCAGTTTTGAAATGGATAGGCAGGCATAAGCTCTACTGGAGAGCTTTTTTTTGTTGTTCTAGAATCATTTCTTTCTTGTGATATACTCATACTCCTGAGTGTTTCCCTGTTGAATTGGTTTGCCCAAGTGGGGCATTCTAATTCATGAAAGAAGGAAAAATTTAATGGCATATGAAATGGAATGTGAGAGGTGGAATAACAGAAATGTTGAAGGAAGGCACAAGAAATTAACCTTCCCTTCCTATATTGAAAGCAACTAGAGTGAGAAGATGGCTGAGCACAGTGACACATCACTGTTCAACTGAAGCTCTTTGCTAGCATGCTTAAGTCTGCTTAGCCATATAAATTCTGATTTGGGTTCTGATTTTCATCATCTTTTTTGCCTACCCTTTTTGTCAGAATGGAATATCTTTTAAATAGAATGCTCATCTCTATTCCCTTTCTTTTGACAATATAATGTTTCTCTTATATCCAGATGTTACAGATTCCTTTTGGCAATGCCATTGTCTTGTAATAAGTTTCATTAGGATTGCAATCTTTTTCCAGATGGCCATTGGTTATTTGAGGGCAAGAACAGAGAGACTTCATCTCCAAAGATACATGGAGGAGCTACAGAGGCAGAAGAGAGAAGCTGAAGTGGCATCCCAGAGAAGTTTGGAAGTTGGTGGCAACCCTGATCTTGCCCAAGAAAGAATAAATGAATATCTAGATCTCATGAAAGAAAAAGTGAGTATTATGCTTGTAGAGATCATTGATCAAGGACCTTTCTTTCATCGGAGTATGGAAACATGCAAGGAATAGTGTCACTATCAGTGTAGCAATGAAGGTATTCAACTGCTCTTCATGGTAAATTCCAGAATCTAACAGGTTCAGCACAACATTGAATGGCATGAGAAATCAGGGAAGATTGTGCTGAGTCAACATAAGCTTAACTATGACTTGAAAATGGGAGTGAGAAGTAATGTGAATCTTGAACTATGAAAGTATTTTTTCCATTGTCTTTAGTGAACTAGAATAAAAAGAAGAAAAGAGAAATTTTACTTACTGTCTTACTCATGTCTATGTTCTATGACACATTTTTATAAATTATTAGAATCTCTCCTGTCCAAATCCCCAATAAAATTTCCTGGAAACTCCAGAATATTGAATAAAAAGGTAACTATTAGCTCTGCTGAGTTTCAAAAATTCTCCCAGCAAACAAGTGAACTGGAAGAGGAGGGAATGGCAGAGGAGTATTGGCACAAATATAATTGAACAGCTTTTGTGTCCCTCTGCTCTTCCACTACAGACATGAGATCTGATCAAAAAAGTTCCAAAATGGATTTTTTATGAGGCTGTGGTGACTCTGGCTTCTGATGCCTATATCCTTTGAAGTAGTCCTCTTCAGCATCTACACAAATTTTCCAGTGTTTCTTCAGTTGCTGGAAGCATGACTGATACTTGCCTTTTGGAATCGTCAGCAGCACTCACATCGCATTTATAATGCTGCTTCAAATGTCCTGGAATCTTCCTTTCAGCATATTCTTTAGCTAAGGAAACAAAAATAAATCACTGGGAGTCAAGTCTGGTGAGTAGGGCAGATGAACCAAAGGAGGTAGCAAGATAGGTCAGAAATTGCTGCACAGGTGAAATATGCTGGTCCTGGTCATTGTCATGCTGCAGAATGCATGACCTTGCCTCCAACATATCTCTTTCTCTTGGTGAGGTAGTAAGTCTGAATCACTGTTTTCCTTTCAGGGGCCTGTTTCATGGAATTTACAAGTTCTACAAGTTATAAGTTACAAGTAATTGCAATGGTCATGTTTAACTCCTTGTTTAACTCTTCCAGCTGGTCCCACGGCCTTTCGTACAACTATGACACGACCCTTGTAATTACTAGTAACTTGTAACTTGTAGAGCTTGTAAATTCCATGAAATGGGCCCCTGGTCTTACCTCACTGTGCTCACTTGTTTGCACACTGCCATTTGCAGAAAGGAAAGTGGGAGGTAAGATCATGGATTCTGTAGCATGACAATGTCCAAGCCCCACGCGTCTTGGCAATTTCTGCCCTATCACTGTGCTTCATCCTCCACCCTACTCACAAGACTTGGCTCCCAGTGATTTATTTTTGTTCCCTTAGCTAGAGAATGTGTTGAAAGGAAGAAGATATCAGGACATTCTAAGTGGCATTACAAATGCAATGTGAGCATTGCTGGTGATTCCAAAAGACAAATACCAGTGATGCTTTTAGCAGTTGAAGAAACACCAGAAAAATTTTGCAGATGCTGAGGAGGCCTACTTCAAAGGATATATGCCTCAGAAATGAGAAAGCACCACCACCATCATGAAGAATTCAGTCTTGGAACTTTTTGATAAGACCTCGTATATCAAGCAAGAATTATGCTTGTTATATCATTTGGATTGATCCTTATAGGACTCCTTCTACTGGCATGTCTTACAAATTGTTATAGCACTGGGCTTCCCAGAATCCTGGGATCCAATAAACCCATATATTTGACTGATGTGTATACTTGATAACTCAATCGAAAACCACTAATTGTTGGTTATTGCAAATCTAGTTCATTTTTAACCCATAAGCCCAGAACTCAGCTGAAGTGAAGTTACAAGGGGTGATCCAAAAGTTTCTGCCCTGAGGTGGTAGAAATGGTTAGAGGAAGCTAAAAGTTGATCCCCATAGTCTTTCATCCTTTTTGGTAATTTCAGGGGTCAGCAATTTGTTTTAGGTGCATTTATATATATATTTAATAATTTGCATATAATAAATGTTCCAGCCAGAAGTTATTCCATTTCAAAGTGGCAAAATTGAATATGGAGCAGTTATGCAATTTTTAATTATAAATTAAGGCATTCATTTGATATAACTTTGTTCACCACAACAGAACAGCTCATTCAATGGTCTACGTTTCAAGCTAAACTTTCTGTAAAGCAGTTATGAAGGTGAAACTGACAATAATGACAATTAAATGAACTTTCAATGCATTTTTAGGTGACTATGGAAAAATGTTTTATTTACCATAAAACTGAAGCCCTGCTCCATCAATGGGACAATTATTAATGTACTGTGAGGTAATGCTGAAAAATACAGTCTATCACATTTCCTTACATCTCATGGCAGAAACTTTTGGATCACCCCTTGAACATGTGATTAGATGTAAGATGTAAGGAGAGAAGAGATGTGAAACATCTAACTGAATGCAATAGATGCAGCAGTGATCACTTCACTCTCTGCTTGAACATAAAATCAGATTAATTCCTTGAAAACCATTGGAGATGATGTCTTGAGGAGTCCTCTTTTTTTTCTTATTTGCCTTTACTCTCTTGTTTTATAGGAGGACTTGGAGAAGTTGCATGAGAATTTAAGAAGGCAACTGGAGTTGATGCGAAGACACCATGGACGTCTTGCTCTTTCTGCTGCTTTCTCTCCATGATTCCAGCTTACCCTGTAATGATCCAGCAGCATTCAACATTCTCATCTTCCTCAAATTGAGATGGAGAATTTCCAGCTGATGCATTACATCTCTTTTCTGCAGATGAGACAAGGATACATGGCTGAAAAAATGATGTTGACAAGCTTAGCATTGCATTCTGCCTTGAACAGAAGAGCCTGATACAGTACTGACTTCAATTTGAGTCAGTCTTCACATTGAGAAGTTCTGCAGGCTTTGCAAACCAAAATAGCAAAGTTTTTGTCAATTAAATCAGGAATGGATTCCTTTCTGAGTTTTTCTGTTTATCCCATCTCATATAGGTGACATCTAAGTTTTTTTTAAAGAAATGCAGTTGATTCCTTGAAGGGTTCTCATACTGAATCATGGAAAGATCAATGTCACTGAATGGTTGTTGGGCAGAAAATGACTCCTGGACACAACACATGTGTTTTTCATTTCTCATCAGAGAAATTTATTCAGGTGAATATTAAAAATAAATAAATAAATTCTCAAAAGTAGTCATATTATTTCTTTCCAACAGGGAGGATTCCCTTGGAAGTCTTGTAAGATGTATACTACAACGGTTGTGTTTATTCCTCTTCGTCACTGGTTCTTCACTAGAGTATTGGTAAAGCACTCTACTATTTTCGTGCAATCTGGCTAGGATGTCTGTCAGATCATAAATCAGACTGAATATGTTGCTTTCGTTGGTAAAAGATATCCAACAATTTTAACTTGTGAACCTACTTTGAACTCTGATTACCATGACCTTAATACGCCGGGTACGAGGTCACTCTGAAAGTTCATAGCTGCTCCCTTACTATAAACGACTTCAGCTTGAAATATTCACTGCTTCTCAAAAGTAGCATCTATGCACATTTGCATTCGTCGAAACAAAGAGTTAAAGCAATTGCGCGAATCCCCTTTGACAAGGTCAACCAAAATGTCCCGATGTCCCTGTAAGTAACCACAGCATCGTCAGAGCTCTCAAACCGGCGACCACTTAGTTTTTCTTTGCATTTGTGGAAACAAATGGTCACAAGGTCCAAAATAAGGAGAATCTGACCATGTTTAGACATGCTGACTGGACAGGAAGCCCAAAGATTTATTTGTTGCGTGCACCTGAGCATTGTTGTGGTGCAGCAAGCCCCGAAGTCCCTGCTTGGGACGTCGATGATTGTGGACAAATTCCAAAACTATGACCAAGCAGATAGTTGTGTACGATTCCGCATTTACCGTGGCACGTTCTTGAACAGGAATGGTAGCGATATGACCAGCACGGAAGAAGAAAGTGGCTGCCATTTGTTTCCCGACACCACGTGGCCAACGGACTTGGGTAGTTGCTTCCTCGGAAATGTCTAAATTGTGCTCTGGCGTTTCGTTTCTGGGTCAAATTCATAAATTGAAGTTTCATCTTCAGCTACAAGATAAAACATTAGTTTCGAACGACCTTGATTGAATTTTTTGAGTGTCGTGTCATCTATACGTGGATCTATTTTTGGAGGTCTGATAAGGGCTGGAGTACCCCACGGGAAACAACCCTGCGAAGCCCCAAATGCCCATGCCGAATGTCAGATACAGCAGAGGAACCGATGCTCAAATGATTTTCTATCTGCTCATGAGTAAATCGGGGGTCTTTAGCAACCATATGCTGGTCCAAATCAAAGTTTTCAGGTGTGACTGCAGTTGAAGGGTCGAGGTTCATCAATAGAGGCTCGGCCCCGTTTGAATTCAAGGAACCACTTAAAAATTGTGGAAATGTTGGAAGCCTTGTTGCTCCATGCCTCCACAAGGCGCTCATGAAATTGAAATGATCTCCTCGGAGGTCATAAAGAATCATCCATCGAAACCCTCACGAGTGGACTCCGCCTTCAAATTGCAAAGACACAAAAGCTGCCACAGAAAAACTAGCGCAACTCTTCAAATCTTGAGGTAACAGTCACGAAATAAGCAGCTGACCTACGTACATGGACGGTGATAGTTGGGTGATACAATTACTAGGACTCTTAAGCCTGTACATTCGAGAGTAGCTACGTACTTCCAGTGGCACAAAAAGACCAACAACTTTTAACCGATGCATCTCCGCTCTCACTGGAGCTACGTCCTTCACCTCGTCATCTCAGATGACGAGGTGAAGGTAGCAGTCAGGGATATTCTGTAGCAGCTGCTACAGACGTAGGACACCCTGCTGCGGCTTGTGACACAATGGGAGAAGTGCCTCAACGCCGGCGGGGCGTATGTCCATATATGTGTCACAGTTTGCATCCAGAGCACCCTGGCCCACTTTCATTTGACTGGCCCTTGTAGAATCTAAATGATGCTGTGAGATACTAAATCATATGTGTTTGCCTGTCTTCATGAATTCAGTTTTGATGGACTTGAAAATAATGTCTCTTTGATTTTCCTTTGGTTGTTCCCATGTATCGCTGTGTTTTCTCACATACTGAATCTTTGGAAGTGTGAAAAATCTCGACTTTCCAGCATTTTTATGCCAATTATACTGATTCTTATAGATCGTTTCCACAACGCTCACGGCTGTTGCATAGCCCATTGATATGTAGTCGGATCTGGCTTTGGTGACATTACCCAAGCCGTAAATGTACACAAGCTGCACAATTTGTGTATTAGACATGTACATATATCTGCTGGGAGCATGACTTGATTCCAGAGTGCGTACAGTTTGCCAGATCTCCGTTATCTTCATTTGCATGACTGGCGCTCACTGTAGTTCGTATTGTGAACGCAATATCTCTTATCCGTAACTCTTTATCTTCTCTTATAACATTATTATAAGAGGATAAGGAAGAGCAAATAAAAACGCGCTAACGAGGTTTATGTAAAAGTTAGCGAACCTAAAAAGGAATAATTTGCTAAAAGGATATTGTTTTGGCAGATTCATTCGTTTTCCTCCATTATACTCTTTCTCGCGAGCTCTTTCATATTAATTAGTTCCCTAAGTTCCGATAATTTATTATTACTGATTTCTTCTTTTTTTCCACCTAAACTTTCTTCATTGTTTTCCTGGACTTCTTGAGCCTTTTGAATCTGGATTCCCCGCCTCATTGCTGGCTGGGCCATGTTGAGAGTGAGTTTGAGTAATGGGTGGTGGATCGTGAATGGTGTCAAGTGGAGACTGGGTGCCATTGCGTGACAAGATCCATGGCCATTCAGAGGATGCATCTCGTTCAAACTAGAAGTGGAAAATGTCTATTAAATAATAATTTAAAAAACCCACAAAATGTCAATACAGCTTTACGGAATTGAATACTCTGCCTTCGTGTGAGTCCTCTCTAAGTGGCTTCTGGAGAACGGGGAAAGGCAGGAGAGACGAAAAGAAGAAAACCCTTTGAAGGGAAAGAGCACGCAGATTCAATCGTGACGCGATATGGATCTTACCTGAGAGTGTTTCACTTCTTATCAATCGCTTCGTGAGTCAAGATCCAACTTCAGTCCTGCCACGCCCATTAATGAGAGAGTGGAAGTTGGAACAAAGGTGACAGAGCAAAATGGATGAAATTCTCGGCCGAAAAAGTGAAGGGTTTCATTCATTCGAGTTTTCCACGTGCATCTATATAGTTGTATGTGTGTACAGTTGCGTTGCAAGGACGATCGATTTCGCTGCGGTCGCGTCGCAAGTTTTCGTTTTCCATTAGGTGCAGAATGCGAGCGATCCCGAGGTTCCTTCGCGGAAAGACCTTCAGGAAGAAACGGGTTCGTCGTGTCGTGGACTTCGAGCGAGGAGAGCGGATTTCCGAGCTCGTTCGATCACGTGTCCGCAGGAATACTTGCGAATGAATCTGCAGTCCTGAAAGAATCCTTCGTGACGAGGAAAACCGTTCGTTCCGTCTCCGTACGTCACCAGACCTGAAAACGGAGGTCGATGGGGACGAGTGAGAACATCGGCAAAATTCGTGCGGACTCGCCGGTGCGCCGAATCCCACCGAGCGGATTCCGAAGCCGTACCGTGACCCGAGATGCGTCCTCCGCGGAATTCGCCTTCGAACCTCATGCCATCGGCTCTCCAAAATATCCCGTGGCCGTGGAACCAGCCGAGGAAGAATTCCCCTTCGTACCTGCAAAAAATCCCGCGAAGACATGGCGTGTAGGTACATGGACAAAGCACGAGACTCGTGAGAACCCCATCTAAAAAAAAAAAAATAAATCTCTTTTTCATGACTTCCTTCCCGTGAAGATCCCACAGAAAGCCAGAGAAGTCCCGCGTTGAAGAATGCGGGACCGAGCCCATCTTTCACGTTTTAAGCTTTCGCTCGTGAACCCCACGGTACCGAAAACCAAGGATCGAAAAAGAATACATCTCCACGATATAGACTTGAACTCGATTCTCGAGTGTGTCTGTGCGTGTAGGAGCCTAACAACTAAAAATGGTGAAATGTGGAATTGTTGAACGCCTTCACCTCACTCTACTTACCTCCCACGTCGTATTAAGGAATATACCTGTATTTTGTATGGTATCATTTCTCGTATCAGGAAGCAACACCCATGTGCAGTGGCGTAACTAGGGGGGGGCAAGTGGGGCAGTCGCCCCGGGCGCCACAGTCCAGAGGGCGGCAAAATAGCGTTTCAAAACATTTTTTATTTCAAAGAAGCAAACTTTCGGCAAATTTTTTCATTTTGTCCATTTTGCCGCCCACTGGCAAAATCCCCATTTTGACGATTTTGCGATTTTTTCCCGTTTGCCGCCCTCTGAACTGAGGGCAGCAAACGTCAAAAATGAAGCTGATTAATTCGTACCTGCGATCTACAATGTCTCAAGTAAGACTTACAAATCTTGCTATCTTGTCAATCGAACATCAAGTTGCTTCTTCCTCAGCCGGTCCAGCCAGCCCAGCCGGTCCAGCCAGCCCAGCCGGTGCAGTCGGTCCAGTCGGTCCAGCCAGCCCAGCCGGTCCAGTCGGTCCAGTCGGCCCAGCCGGTCCAGCTAGCCACGCATGACGAGACTTCAGATTCCTTATTCGTTCTGTATGGTATACCCAGTGGCGTAACTAGGGGGGGGGGCAAATGGGGCGGTCGCCCCGGGCGCCACTGTCCAGAGGGCGGCAAAATAGCGTTTCAAAACATTTTTTATTTCAAAGAAGCAAAATTTCGGAATTTTTTTTCATTTTGTCCAGTTTGCCACCCACTGGCAAAATCCCCATTTTTACGATTTTGCGATTTTTTCCCGTTTGCCGCCCTCTGAAATGAGGGCGGCAAACGTCATCTTTCAGCAAAATGAAGCTGATTAAGTCGTACCTGCGATCTACGATGTCTCAAGTAAGACTTACAGATTTTGCTATCTTGTCAATCGAACATCAAGTTGCTTCTTCCATTGATTTCAGCGAAGTTATTAAAGATTTTGCAGCCAGTAAATCAAGAAGGGCTGAATTTTGACTGCAGTCGTTTGTTTGTAAGGATTGATTTTGATTACATTATTTGTGCTGAGAATCATTCCTGAATAACAGAAATAATTCATAAATCTCATTCTCCAGTAAAACGTGTGTGCATGTG